AGAAAACCAAAAAAAAAAAAAAAACCCCACACATCAAGCTCTAGCTATATATTCTAAAATATCTACCATATCCCATTAATGTATTAATAGGTAAAATAAAAAAAAATCTTTAGTGCTGTCAGTGGGCAGATTTCAGGGATGACTTTAACATAAGAGGCAATGAATGCAGCTTTTGAATGGTTTTTATAGGAATAAGCAATACTTTCACAGGGATATAACAAAGAGGAGAAAAGGAGGAGTTTAAACTGAGATTTTATGTCAGCTAACGATAATTGCAGCCGCTACAAATCTGCATTTAAAAAAGGAGAAGGAAAATGAACTATTGTTTATAAACTGGTAATACCACATATGGCCATGGCCTTGCTCATTAATTGCATTTCTATTATATTCAAAATGCCTTCTCGCAATTTAAAATGGATTGTGCCAATTAGGATATAGCAGGAACGTCACATACCACAGTATGCCCTGCCATTCCACCCAGCACGCTGTTTTTTTTTTTTTAGTTGTTAGGCTACTGGTGGCCTATTGATCTCGTGATCACACGTTTGCTATTCCCGAGGCCTTTAGCACAAACAAAGGGTTGTCTGCATATGTAAAAAACAGAAAAACAAATTTTATGGTTGCAGTGCTGCTCATCTAAAATAATGCGATTTCCTTTAGTCAGTAAAATGGAAATGGTTTTTAAAATAATATAGACCCTATACAACCAGGAATACAAAATAACGTGCACCGTTTAAATGTGGAATGCAGTGTGTTTTATAGTAATGCCTTATATTCTGTTTCCCCCCCCCCTTTCAGTGCATTGGGTATGACAAGTAGCAGCTGGGTTACAAAACAACACACAAGCCAACAGTTTACCATAACCACACATACAGAAAATGTGACGCAGAATACCAAGGGAGCATGCCTACATCGGATCACGTGACAGCAGCTTGCAAGGTATGACATAATCCCATTCAGCATAATGATATAGTGCAAAGGCTGGGATGCGCAATAAAACCACAGCAATTTCCTGCAAGCCAGCTTTCAACAATCTGACCAATAGAAGCTGGCCCAAAAGAAGTTACAATAGGTTACTGCATATCAGCATTCTTTGCACTATTTTATTAGACCCATCAGGGACAATACAAAAATAAAAGCATACCTGCATGTTATGGAATGGAACATGAAACAATGAAAGAAAAAAGGGAAAAAAAAAAAAGAAGAAATTTCAGCATATTGCATGCGAGACATAAATTAAACCAGACTACAGAAAACATGCTGACAGGGAGCAGGCAACAAGAGAGCAGCGAACTGCCAATATTGTTGTATCTAATACATGTAATAAATGAATAATGGCAGCCAGGACAGGCCAGCAAATTTTAGATGGCTGCTAAAAGGAGCAATGGAGAAAAACAAGACAGTTACATTTTTACTTCATGTATTCAAGAACACAGGCAAGACGCAACCCACATTGCCATAAAGAATGGTATATTGTGCTCAGTTGAGCCAAAAACAGCACACAGGGTATATGGCTACTTGTTAAAGCAAAAGCGTGCTTCGCAATTGGTCCTCCATCATATAACGTATTTTATTGCCTCGTAATTAGGCCAGTGCTATGGTGGCATACATTGCCTCCATATTTCACATACGGTGACATTTATGTACAGCCAGCATTTCCTCAATCCCACATCATGTAACCTTTCAGCTACTCGTCACACAGCTACTCGTCATACATTTTATGCTACACATAAAATGATAACAGTACCAGGATGCACTTTGTGTGCAGCAAGAAAGCAGATCTCCAGCTGTTCATAGACTACAAATCCCAGCACAGCAGGACTTGATGGCGCTGGTAGCTTCACAACAGCTGGAAAACCACAGGCAACTTGTGTCCGATACACAGCAAGACTGAATAATGACTGCCAGCACTAGAAAGTACCGAGGCAGACACAGTCACAGTAGGATTACTGTTTAAGAGTGCCCTTTCTCAGGAAATTGTAAGGTCACGATCAACAAAATACATCAACAGGTTGATGAATACTTGGCAGGTATAAAGGCCATTATATTAGACTATTTGCACAGGATAAAAATGTGACTACTTTTAAAAAGGTAGGCCAAGTCAGTGTTTACATTTCGAAGACTGTAGCTTTACAAAAAGAAAAGGTAGCTATAAACTCAGTAGGATGTGCAAAATGGGAAGCTTGACCTAACACAAAGCCATTATTAAAAACTACAATAGGTACGGTCACAGAGGCTTTCAATGACACCCTCCTATGTACATGACTCTGATCCACCTTTTGGAGATGGTGACTTGGCTGTCAAGGGTTACAACACGAGTGTGTGTGTGTGTGTGTGTGTGTGTGTGTGTGTGTGTGTGTGTGTGTACACAGCCCCAGATGTTTGCAACCCAGTGCATCTTTTCCTGCTCAGAAATAGCTCAAATAAGCTGTTCATCAACTCACAACACAAACCAAATCCATCATTTCCGGAATATTTTATTTGATTTATATAGAAATATTTAAAAAAAAAACATGAAGTAGCACCATTACTTAAGTTTACCTTTATTTATGTAGAACTTTAAATGTCAGAAAAATAAAACTCTTGATACAATTTCAAATCTTGTTTCAGCAAATATAATATTAGTATTTTGACCATACCTACATATACATAAACAAGTAGTAAACAAAATGTATTAAAATAGAAATACTAAACTAGAGTGGTGCAACAGAATTTTTGAAATCTCCACTGAAATCTATTTATACAAATGTTAGAAAGGAGTCAACGGCTTCTTTTTTTGTTGGCTTAATATGCTTATACATTTCAATTCTTTAATAATATAGACTAAAATAGGCTTTGTATCACGGAATAGAAAAAGACGCTGGGTGAAGCAGGTTTAAAATGTTGTTTTGCTGGAACCTATAAAAAAATCTCCATCCCAACACAATACTGTTCAAAACATTTTGCAGTTTGTTTGCTTTGTTTTATTATTATTATTATTATTCAAATGTGTGTGTCCCCTCCCCCCTCCCCCACTTCACCTGTGAGATATTAAAATAATACAGTGTTCTTTGCCAGAAGGCCATACTAAAAATAAAAGATTTAAACCCAGCTACAAAAAAAGTTCACTGAACTTAAAATTAAAATACTTGTAAACATCTTTGCAATATGAAATATAATTTTTCAAGTCAAAAAAGAATAAAATACTTCAATCTGAAAAAATAGAAATTATAGAAATAAAAAATAAAAAGCTTTCAATATTTAAAAAACAAATCTTGGATTGTCAAAATAATATTTCTATAGTCTACAAAGCCACACATGAATAACAAAAATATAAGAAAAAAAAATATTTTGGAAGATTTATCTAAAAAAATACAGTGTAACAACTGTTTCTATTATGGTTTTGTTCATACTTAAAGCATGCCAAAGATGTAGTTGTTTTCCCAAGCTGCAATACATGGCCATGGGAAGGGTTCTGCAAGTTCCCTTTCAAAAATAATATAAAAAAACAAATAAAAAAAAAAAAATTACACACAAAACAGAAAATATGCAGATACTGCAGCTTTAAGCCACATTCCCACTTGGCAAGGTAGCAACAAGATATTCTACAGTAAGAGCCCTTGTCTCAATAACTCCAGGCCTTGCCACTTTTATTTTTAACCCCCTCGACATCCGTAACAGTACCTTCCAGCAGGAAAGGGGTTAATTGGCCATGTGACAATATCCAGACTGATTTAAGACAGGCCCATGGGCCTTACTGCAAATGGCAGAAATATAAGATGCACAAATCAATATTGCTTCTGGAGTGAGCGCATGTAAATCAGTTGCTGCAAGCTATTTACATAATGAAGCAATAGTGGGTACCACTGAGAAGAACGCACAAAAGGGGTCCTTGTTTAATGAGACATGCACTTACTATTTGACATCTGGCCCCCTGTATAAAACCATCATTTGCCTTTGGAAATTGCATGAAAGGCTACTACAAAAGACATCTAAGAGCTTCCAACCCAGCGTATAGAGCCTGGGGGAGGCATTAACATAAGCAACATCACAATATCATATATATATTATTTGCATATTAATATATTACAATATATTAATATATTAAAAGTGGGAATGTAGCTATAGGGCATATATGTTTCTTTTCATAGTACTGAATAAAGAAGGCTTGAGTGTTTTGTTCTAGGAGAAAATGCGAATGGCCTGAGTGACTTCTGTGTGACACACTGGGCATTGTGGTTCATTCTTCTCGCAGATGCGGTTGGCACACTCCATGCAAAACAAGTTGTGGCCACATGGTACCAAGGCAGCGATCACCTCGCTCTCAAAGCAGATGGAACAATCGCGGCTGCCTTTCCTCCTCATACCTGACGAAGAGGAAGACGAGCTGGAAGAGGAAGAGCTGCTACTGGAGGACGAGGAAGAAGAGGAGGAGTCGGAGCCAATGTTGGTGTAGGAGGAGTAGCTCAGGCCACCGCCGGGGTCACTGCGCACTCTACGCGCTAAGGGATGCTCTGGGACCACACTGCTTCCATGCAAGGGAGGAGAGAGCCTGGGGGGAGCGGTGCAGCCCACCCCATTGAGTCGCCGGTGGTTAGAAAGCAGCCCGTTGGCATTGTTTTGGTAGGCACTTGTCGTGCCATTGCGTTCAAACTGGGACCAGAGCAAAGCAGTGCCAGGTGGGGCAGGGGCAGGGTCAAAAGGGGAGTCAAAAGCCAGCTCAGTGGAGTCGGGAGAGATGGTCTCACTGGCGTATATGTATCCATTGCCATTCACGTTATTGTTATTGTTGCCATTGTTGGTAAAACTGAGGGCAGGGCTGGGCGGGCTGTAGTCTGCCAGCCTTGTGCCGTTGGTGCCCCCAAAGTAAGAGTCAGTGGAGGCACTGCCCAGAGAGCTGGAGCTGTCGTTGCGGTAATTAGAGAAAGCCTTGCGTGACCCCGTGCTGGAGTTGACGCCCGGGGTAGGCTTGCTCCACAGGCTCCCCATGCCATGTAAATCAAAGCCAACATCAGTCCCATTTGCGTGAAAGTCATTCTCGTCGGTCAGCTCTATGAGCCCTCCGGTACGTACAGCGATGTGCGCCTCGATCTCCTCCCGGGCGCGATCGACATTCTCCGGCATGCCAGTGACCTCAAACACCGGCTCTTTGTCCCTGCTGGGGGTGACGATGTACGTGTGGGTCTGCTGCTGGATCCGTTTGATGGTGGCCCCTTTAGGTCCTACTACCAGCCCCACCACCCTGTAAGGAACCCGCACCTGGATGGTGGTCTGCCCGGGGAGGTTTGGAGGTCCAGGCACGGACGACCCCTGGCCATTCAACGCGTTCTTATTGCGAGAGGCTCGGATCATTGAAAAGTGCTCTGCTGCTGAGATGATCTCTCTCCTGGCCATGGCTACATCCTCCTTTCTCCCAGTCACAACAAAGACAGGCTCCTCCCCACGGACCGGGGTCTTGATGTAGGTGTTGGTCTTCGCCCGCAGAGCTTTGATTTTACAACCTGGGGATAAAATGGACAATTACTCTTGGTGTTTAAAGAAAAAGAAATACACAGCGTGACCCCATAAAACAAAAGGAGGACGGCTGAGCAGCACTTACATGAAAGAAGGGCACAGCTATAAGGTGGGCAGCTGGGAGTGAATAAACTGCAGTGCCAACACAGCACAAAACATGGGAATGCACAAAGCAACATGCAGAAGCATCATCATCACCACCAAGGAAAGCCATGCCAAGACACACAGGCACCAATCATACATCCAGTGCCAGTCACCCCCCATTCATGCAGGTAGAAGATGGTGCAGGGTGTCCGCACTTCCCTTTGTCTCGGCTCACCATAACATTCCAGCATTCAGCCAACGTGCGCACAACAAAAGCCGCCCGCCAGCCTTACCTTGCCTACCGACGATCTCGGCCACATGCTCGGAGCTGGGCACCGGCACGCACTCGGTCATGTTGACGCTCTTTTTCCGGGGCTCATTGTCGTACATGGAGTTCTCGTCGTTGTCCAGCCCCAGCAGGGACAGCTGGTCGAGCGCGATCTGGAGGGCTCGCTGGTCATCCAGAGTCTCGACGCCTCCTCCTCCTCCGCTGCCGTTCCTCTCCATGTCGGCGAACAGCGAGCTGGGCATGGTCAGCGGCAGCACGGGCGGCAGGTTCCCCCGCTCCTCTCGCCTCGGTAGTAGGAACAGACACAAAGGAAAGCGAGGTGGCCAGCACTACGGAGAGAGGGGAGGGAGGCAGCTGGATCTCGGCTTCTCCCGTTCAGCTTGGAGGTCTCGTGGGCTGCTGCTCCGGGAAGGGTCGTGCGGCGAGTCAGTGCAATCACGGGTGGTCAGCCCACCGCTCCGTAGCGGGATGCAGGCGCAGCTCCCCGACTTCTTTGTGGCCAAAATATGCCAGAGATGGCAGCGTTTCTTTAAGGAGCCCCTCCCCGGCTCACTCAGCGTTTTTCTCCCCTCCTGTCTGAGCCACTGCAGCCAGACGGCACTAGAGGGGGATAAGAGGGCCGTGACGTCACCGGCAAGGCTTGACAGCACAATGGAACTGACACCGGGGAGGGACGGCCCTATTGGCTTAGCTCGGCACCGGAGGGCCGGCCTGGCGCGTCTGGCACGCCCACTTCTCCTCCCCCCGGCAGAAAGCAAGGAAAAACTCCTTTCTTTGTTGTCTAATGCAGAACAATAAAGAATGGAGACACTGGGCTATACTGGGATAGGGACACACTTGGATAGGGACACACTAGGATATTGGGATAGGGCATACTAGGATAGGGAGACGCTGCGATAGGAGACACTGGTGTGTGGGGACTCTGGGATCTGGAAACACTAGGAAGTGGTGACACTGGGATGTGGGGACACTGGGATAGGTGACACTGGGATGTGGGGACACTGGGCAGTGGGAGCATTGGCATAGGAGACACTGGGAAAGGAGAGATTGGGTTGTGGGGATAGTGGCACAGGGAGACCCATTGAAAAAGTAGACACTGGGAAGTGGGGACACTGGAATAGGGAGACAATGAGATGATGATACATTGGTATAGGGAGACACTAGGATGCGGGGACACTGGAGTAGAAAGACACCAGGATGTGGGGACACTGAGATAGGGAGACATTGGGATGTGAAAACACAGGGATGATAAGATATTGGGATAGGGAGACACTGGGATGTGGAGACATTGGCATGATGAGACTTTGGGATGGGGTGATACTAGAATGTGGGACACTGCGATGTGGTTACACTGTGAGGGATATGGAGATAGTGGGATGTGTCTGCACTGGGATGTGGAGAGATTGGGGTGATGAGACACTGGGATGTGGATACACTGTGAGGGATATGGAGACATTGGGATGTTTCTGCACTGGGATGTGGAGAGATTGGGGTGATGAGATATTGGGATACGGAGACACAAGGAGGGATGTGGAGACACTGGGAGGGATGTGGATATTGGGGTGGGGGGTGATGAGATATTGGGATATGGAGACACTGGGATGTGGTGACACTGGGAGGGATACGAAGACATTGGGATGCAGATACACTAGGATATGGAGACACTGAGATGTTGATAGACTTAGATGGGGATACACTGGGATGTGGATAGATTGGGGGTGATTAGATATTGGGACATGGAGACACTGGGAGGGATGTGGAGACATTGGGATGTGTCTGCACTGGGAGGGATGTGGAGACACTGGGAGGGATGTGTAGATGTGGAGAGATTGGGGTGATGAGATATTGGGATGTGGGGACTCTATCATTTTCCTCCATCTCTATCTGAGAAAGGTGCACCTGCAGTGTTTCCCAGTAGCCCAGAGTGACTCCCCATTAGCCCACACCAGTCTGTCATAGGGGATCACTAGCATGCTCCCCGATGTATGCATCGCCTGCTGCGATAATCGTCTGTCCGATCACATCAGCCACACACGTCTTTTATTGTGTCAGCAATGACAGACAATAATTACAATTTGTACAGAAGCGGCGACACAACACACACAGTGAGATCCATCCTGGGTGCCATAATAAAGGCTGGCAGAGCTATCTCCGATCTCTGCACTGTTTTGGGGGCCATACCCCTTGCCTATAGAAATCTGGAAATCTTCCCGGCAGCGATCTGAATTCCTCGTGTCCCCGGCGGCGTCACTAATTGGGATGACAGTTCCTCCGGTGCTGAAGCGGGCGGAAGCGGTGGCAGCATGTATTGTGCGGCGGGCTGACCTTACGGGCGGGTTCAGCCGGCAGCGGAGGGGTTAAAGCACCGTCTGCCACAAAGCAGGAGCGCAGCACGGCGCAGATTGCCGTTTGACACATGGTGGGGGAGGGGATCGCTAGACAAGCTCGCCGGACACAAAGTGGCTAATGTAATTTGTAGCCGCCTCAGCCTCGGAGGTCAATAACGACGCTGCCGGCTGATTACAGAAACTTCCACTTGCTCCGGGGACAGATCCGATCCTGTCCGGGTCCCCATACACTTCATTGTCTGCTATCTGTTGTATGGCAGCACCCAGACCCATGCACACAATGGTGGCTCGCTGCATCCCTTCACTTTCACTGGATTAGGGATATGTCCGGGCATGTGGGGAGCTCCCCCTCTGCTAATACCTAAGACCTCCTTTGTTCTGCACCATTGCATTGTCGCAGTCATGAATAAAGGAGGCATTCAAGGAGGTCACCATGTCACTCCCCTGATACTGCCATTAAAACCGCACCGTGTACATATAGCGCAGGGACATCACTTGCCGTGTCAATGGATGCAGCATTTTGCAGGTAGTTATTCTGATGTTTATTGTAATGACAGGCCATTTCCTCCGGATGTTTAGATCATCTGCAGCAGTAGCAGAACTTGCTGGCCAAGGCGACCCCCACTCCTTTGTGTGAAAGCCTTCATCTGAGTCCATGTGTTCCATAGACAGGAAGACCCCCATTCACCCGGCTCAGAGATTGAACACTGTCCCATGTGGATTGCAGGCACTCTGACACAAAGAGTGCTCTTTATGAACCCTGTCCATCACCTCTTCCATGGATGCTGGGACTGCTCCTATTCTCTGCTCAAGCATTGTATGAGCCAAATGACAAAATCGCTTCTCCGGACACAGGTGTGGCACAATGCGTGGTTTTAACGGGGACATCATCGCTAAAATGGGCAAACGGCTTAGATTTAGCGAAGCTGAAAGTTTGGTCAATTATTTTGGTTCAAAAAAGTTCCCCTTTAAACCTGTGCGATTTGAATCGCTTTGGCTGCCGCACGAAAAAAAAGAAATCGCATTATTTTATAGATCCCATTTATATTAATGCAGCACACCTCTGTGCACCTTGGAAAATGGTGCAAGTAGTGAAATGTATCACCAGCAAACCGTGGTCAAATCTTCAGAAAGTGATCATTTTATTGATGCGCACACACACACATCTTATCACACAGCAACGTTTCGGGGCAACTCAGGCATGCCTGAGGAAGGGACCCTGAGTGGCCCCGAAATGTTGCAATGTGACAAGATGTGTGCGCATCAATAAAAGGATCACTTTCTGAAGATTTGACCACGCTGTGCTGGTGATAGATTTTGCTACTTGAATCCTAAGCGGCGCCATCCTCAGTCACTACAGCACTACTGGTACAGGACATACAAGTAATGGTGCCCATACACCTTACTAATATCGGCTGATTTTCGTATGCAATGGCGTTTTCGCCCGATGTTCGTAAGGTTGATGGGCAGTGTACAACCGCAAATACTGTACAATTGATCAACTTTTGACTAACCAGCAGGTTAGAAAACTTTGGTCGATCGTACGGTTTTCGCAAGGTTGGTGGCGTTTCCGTACGCCAAAATTAGTACGCTTTACACTGCACATGCGCAGACGAAAATACGTGCGGTCGATTACCGCAATTTGTCCCGGTGCTTTCTTTTAATTACCGCTGATCCAACCTTGCGATAATCAGGGCAGGGTGGGGCCGCCGTACGAAAATCGTACGACGGTTCAATCATCGAATGAAAAGTTTTGTCCGATGATCGCAAGGTGTATGGGCAGCTTTAGAAATGCGGTAGGATTCTCCTGTATCCTGTTCTTGAAAATGGTGCAGGAGCATCTTATAGTGCGTGTTTAGCCCCATTCCACCGTACCAACCGTTCAGTGTCTGCCGCCCCCCTCTGCCAATCCCTCCACTGGCTCCCACTTGCCCAACAAATAAAATTCAAAATACAAAAAAATACTAACAACATACAAAGCCATCTACAACTCCGCCCCAACCTACATCACTGACCTCATCTCAAAATATCACCCAAACCGTCCTCTCCCTTCCTCTCAAGACCTCCTGCTCTCTAGCTCTCTCATTACCTCCTCCCATGCTCGCCTCCGAGACTTCTCCAGAGTGTCCCCCATTCTCTGGAACCCCTTACCCCAATCTGTCTGCCTATCTCCTACGCTGCCCACCTTTAGGCGATCCTTAAAAACCCATCTCTTCAGGGAAGCCTACCTCATCTCAGCATAACTGCCTTTTACTTCCTCCAATAACTCAATCCAAACAATTATTACCTTTTGCTTTCTCACGAGCAGGGCCCTCCCAACCCTATTGTTCTGAAACTGTATTGTATTGTAACTGTACTGTCTCCACTATATTGTGAAGCGCTGAGCAAATTGTTGGCGCTATATAAATCCTGTATAATAATAATAAGAGTGCATGAAATATGACAGCGTATGGCCGCGTTGTACGCTGTCATATGGATGTGAAGTTCGGGTGTGTGTATGACAGCATCCAGCCGCATCCTCCCATAGGGTAGAACTGGCTGCTACACGCACCTTCTGTCCCTCCCAGGAACGACCCGGTACAGGCGTGCACTCCGCACGGATGTGTACGCCGTGAGTTAACGCAGTGTGAATAAGGCCTAAATATGGAAGTAACATGAAATATGGTCAGAAAGGTCAACTTAGCCTTTAAGGCCCCATTCACACTTGTGTTTAGGGGCAGACTACAAATTCCTATGTGAGACTCAGCAGTGTTTATGCCTGCAGCTGTGGGGGGGAAGTCTGATACAAAGCAATGAGAGGGTGACAGCGCCAGCAGCCATTCATGGCCATTCACATGTATCAGGACATGTAGCAATTAGCATTTAGGGGCGATCATCTGCAGGTAATCTCTGCATGTCCAGTTACATGTGAATGGCTGTTGGTGCAGCTGGTCACATACACACTGCTGAGTCTAACAGAGGAGTTTGCTGTTTGCCCCTAAACAT